CGACTGTATGGAACTGTGTCTTGCAAACCTAGATATACTTGCAACTACTATGGGCCCCACTAAATTTCATCCCCAGGAAACCAGATGGGGAGATGCTCCTGTATTTCCCAACCAGTGTTAAAGCCTCTAGAATGGGCCCACTTCCACGCTGGTGACTTTGTTCTAGGCCACTTTCCCTACAGAGGTTCAACCTTTTCTCACTGCTCTTCCCCGGTGGGGCTGACCCAACTCACTAGGAGAGTGACCAACTCAGTCCCAGTCCTCTCGGCTTCCAATGCTGACTTTAGGAAATTACATCCTACATTCAGAAAGGCTCTCCCTCTGGATCAAGGCCATGATGTCATATCCCCTATCCAACTCAAGTCAGTTCCAGGTGAGTGGACACACTTGCTGAAACTCCCACCCCCAATCAGCTGTGCACATCTGGAAGGGGACCGATAGCTTCCGTCCAAGTTCTCCATCTCTCCTGGAAGCCTCGAGGAAGCTAGTTCAAGGAGCGGTTGTGTATGGTCAGGAAGAGTCAGGTCCCCGGAGCTACTCAAGTTAAACTCATGTTTCTGCCACATGTGAGTTTGTGACCTCAGGCAAATGACTAAACTTCTCCGTGCCTCTGTCTCCTTTTGTAAAATAACGGCTTCTACTTTGCAGAGCTGTGCAGGGTGTATTCGTATTAGCCCTCCTGATCTCTAGAAAATCCACTTTACCTAAGTCGTCTGAAGCACTAAGTCCGTGTACTGCTCATGTCCCATCTGCCTTCCTACACTCAGAATCAGCAGGCATGCCACTAAAGATACAAAGGAACTGGTCCCATATGGCAAACATACCCTGAGGATCTGGTTCCCTGGGCTCATGTCTGCTTCCTCCCAAAGCGCAGACAATTACCTCACATCAGGGAGACAGTAAGTACAAAACAGCCCTCTGAACATACTTCAGCAAACCATCTTAATATGCCCAGGTCAATTCAAGGATTTAATACTTCCATTTGATATGACCTTGTAGATGGGGGTCATTTTTTTCTTTTTTAAAAGTTATATTTTTATTTTATGTGCATTGGTGTATTGCCTGTACATATGTCTGTGTGAGGGAGTCAGATTCCCTGGAACTGGAGTTACAGACAGTTGTGAGCTGCCCTGAGGGTGCTGGGAATTGAACCCAGGTCCTCTGGAAGAGCAGCCAGTGACTCTTAACCGCTAAGCCATCTCTCCAGCCCCCTCGTTTCTCAAATTAAAAAAAAAAAATTTGTGTACCATATGTGTGGTCTAGATGTATATGGTATGCATACATGTATGTATGAATGAGTATGCCTGTGTTCACATGGAAGCCAGAGGAGGGCACTGGATGTTCTATCTCTACCCTGTTCCTTTGAGGCAGGGTCTCTTGTTGAATTTGGAGCTCCCAGTTTTTGATGAGGATTGCAGCCAGCAAGTATGAGTGACCCCATTTTTATCCCCTCAGGGCTGGAGTTACAGGCATGCATGGGGCTATACCCAGCCTTTTGTGAGTGTAAGGATATGAACTCTGGTTCTCATGTGTTCAGCACAGCAAGGGTTAGTACAGCAAGCTAACGCACATAACTGCTGGGCCAGCCAGGCAGCTCAGGAGTCATTGTATTTTATTTATTTGTTTGTTTGTTTTATGTGCACTGGTATTTTGCCTTCATGTATGTCTGTGTGAGGGTGCTGCATCCCTAGAACTGGAGTTAGACAGTCGTGAGCCACCATATAGGTGCTGGGAATTGAACCCGGGTCCTCGGGAAGAACAGTCTGTGCTCTTAACCACTGAACCATCTCTCCAGCCCCTAAGTCATTGGGTTTTTACGTACAATCCCATAGCATTTTCTCTCATTCTGATCTTGTATGAATTTCTAGTCAAGAGGTATTACTGTTTGTAAACCAGCATGCCAAGACTATTGCAAATAATGTGCTGGATACTGTCATCATTATGACCCAAACATCTGGAACCCACCCTTCGTCTATACGTCAGACTTCAAGGAGTCACTGAGTCTGTATTCTTCAACTGAAAACATTGGAGCCAACCAGCCTTGGTTCCAGCAGAGGCATGGAGCCAAGGTATGGATAACTAGATTCTAGGACCATCCCTGGCTCACAGGACGCCCTATAGTACCAAAAACTCTGCAACATTAATTAGGATGAGTACAAGGCCCACCCACATACTCTCATATTACCAAGGATGTCTCCAAAGTGCAGTCAAAGCATTAAATGTGGTTTTTATGGTGACTCCCAACTTATGGCCCAGTTCTAAAAGAAGCTATTTACAGTCATTACTATTTCCCAAGCACCATTCAGGACAGCATCAATTAGCTGTGTGAAGAACTGTTATACCACCTGCCAAGGAGATGTTGATTCAGCTCCCCCATCACAGTGGAGTTTATGCATCATGTCCTTTACAGAGAACATTGCTCAGTAACCATGACATGGTTCTTACCCACCCTTCATCACAGGCGCCTTTTCAAACCTGGGCATTTATGGTGGGAAGCTATAAGTTACCAAGCATATCTCCCAGTTTGACAAAAAGAAAAATGGAAGACAAAATCAAACCAACCCGAGGAGCAAGGTATACTTGACTCAAGTGGCAGGCATCCAAGTGGGTGAGACGGTGGAGCAGACTCCAGACGTAGCTGCCGTCCATATGGGAAGTCGAGAGCCTGCTGCCTGAACTCTTCGAAATCACGGAGAACGTCATCTGGTTGTATCTCAAGAACAGTCTGACGCCTAAGGACCAGACGGCGCTCTTGCTGTCACCTGCATTTAGAACCATAATTTACTCTCAACCCAGATCCCGACACCCACTAGAAATACGCCTGCTATTACTCCTCAAGCCACTGCTATTTGTCCACGGACATATTGCTACTTTTACCTTGCCTACAGCTGAACAACCAGGCTCAAATGATACCATTTCCAGGAAATGACCCCTCATTGCTGGAACCTACGATTAAGTACAGATCAGTGCCTGCTTCAGGCCAGGATCCCCAGAACAACACTCTTTTTTTTTTTTTTTTTTTTTTTTTTTTTTGAGACAAGGTTTCTCTATATAGTTGTTTTGGTGCCTGTCCTGGATCTCACTCTGTGGACCAGGCTGGCCTTGAACTCACAGAGATACACCTGGCTCTGCCTCCCCCCCCCCCCCCCAGTGCTGGGATTAAGGGCGTGCACCACCACCACCACCACCACCACCACCACCACTACCACCACCACCACCACCACAGCCGGCCCGACCCAGAACGGCACTCTTACAAAGCTTTCAGGACTGCCAACCCCTCTTACATCTTCAGCTTTACAGAGGGGACATTTAAATTGGGCCTCCCTCTGGTGGTATCGTCAGTTCTAGAACGTTCAAGATCAACTTTGGAGGACAGAAAGGAGAAGGGAGGAGAGAGAGACGATGAATGAGTGAGGTCAAGGAAGGAAAGAGGGAAACCATCAGGAGCTGGGAAAGAACTCCACAGCAGAAGTAGCACCCTCCCCCTTGAGATGAGTCAGCGATCCTCAACAGTTTCCAGAGAGAATGGTAAATACCGATCTAGTCCCTGACAAACACTAATAAGAAAGAAAAGTAAAAATCCGATGGAGTGGGTCAGAGTCACGGCTCTGTGAAACAGAACAGAGACGCTTAGCACAGAAGATGAAGAGCTGGGTCTTGGGAGCCTGGCTAGGGGAGAAGGGGCCAGGGGCCTAGCCCCTCTTTACGGCTTGGGTGACAACACGGGTGGACATCTTGGAGCAACCTTAGACAGGACCCTTCTTGTTACCCCTTGACCAAGCCGTGCTGTTCCCCATCTTCAAGTTGTCACAACCCGCGCTCCTCTTCAGGGTTCTGAGGTGCAGACACTACCACCCTGGGCATCACGGTGGGCACTGCTGGCTCCGAGGACACAGTTCTGTGTGCCGCTGGGAGAAGAGATGCCATACCACTGCCCCCGGTGGGTGACCATCTTTAGCAAAAGCTCCTTGCAACCTCATCTTTACCTCAAAATAGAGACCGTGCCTTAAATCCCAGCACTTAAGAGGCAGATACAGGCAGATCTGTGTGAGTTCAAGGCCAGCCTGGTCTACAGAGCAAGTTCCAGCCCAGCCAGGGCTACACAGTGAGATGCTGTCTCAGAAGAAAAGTAAAATCCAGATGTGGTTAAGCCTAGCCTGTCTCACCTTGCCTTGAGAGGCCAGGGGAGGTAGAGCTGGTCTTCTGTGAGATGTCTGCTTTATAAGAGCTAATCCCCGAACATGATGAACACCGTCTCCCACTACACAACCTTCCCAGGTCCCCTGAACCCCCGTCCTCCTCCATATCACCTAGCACTCCAGGTTCCAATCAACAGAAAGCTTCCTCACTCTCCTACACTTCTGAAACACTTGCCATCCTGCAGCCTGAAGTACCTTCCTAATTCTGCTCGGGCCAAGGAACTGCTTATCCTCCAGGACTTAACAATAACTTCCCCTTTCAAACCATTTGAAGTTCTATAAACATGTCAGTCTCGGGAGAGTCTGCACCCAGATAAGAAGCCATTTTTTTTCACCTACACTAGTCCTAAATACCAGGCCAGAATCCCAAATCCTGTAGGAAGCCACTTAAAATCTGGGAATCAAGCCGGGCAGTGGTGGCGCACGCCTTTAATCCCAGCACTCGGGAGGCAGAGCCAGGCAGATCTCTGTGAGTTCGAGGCCAGCCTGGGCTACCAAGTGAGTTCCAGGACAGGCGCAAAGCTACACAGAGAAACCCTGTCTCGAAAAAACAAAAAAAAACAAACAAACAAAAAAAATCTGAGAATCAGAGAGAAATGAGGAAGGATTCTTGTAAACACAGAGTTCTTCCCCCCTCCCCCTTATCTCAGGCTTGATAACTTGACTCCTGGGATGCTGAGAATTGAATGTCAGGAGCTAGGAAAGATCCCTGCTCTGCACCTAGTTGGCATGGAGACCAGGAAATCAAAGAATAAAGTAGCCCCATTTGCCAAGTACTCAAGATGAGCCCTCTCATTTCAGACCAGAAGGATGGAGTGTCTAGGTTTCCCCCGATTATCTCAACAGACGGTAATTATTCCATACACCAGAATAGCCACGAGAGGTACCAGGAAGCTGTACGGAAGACGCTGTTAAAAACATGTAAGTACCTTGGCGCGGAAAACACGAAATGAGCCTGAGTCCCTAAAGAGTGACTAGGGTGTCATATGGTTATAGAAGAGGGGATGCTGTCCTATTTTACGTCTTCCCAGAATTGTGAGGACGATGACACAAAGCTGAGACAATGAAAGTACTTAGTTATTGTCACACTGCACCGGCTGAGGAGTAGAGCCAGCACCAGTAATTTGAACTGAGCTGAAACACCAAACAAGTTGGGTGACCTTGGGGACGTTCCTTTGGCCGGTTAACCTCTCCCAAGCACTAGAAAATGGTAGCCCTTTAACTCTGGAAAAGCAAGTAGGGCAGGCTCTCAGTGCACGAAGTCTGATGTAGGAACCTTTCAGGAACTGTGTTCTCTGAAGAAAGCCATTCCTGGGGCTGAAGAGATGGCTCAGTGGTTAAGAGTACTTGCTGCTCTTCCACAGGAGCAGAGTTCAGTTCCTAGCACCCACATGACAGTTCACAACTGCCTGTAATGCCAGCCCCAGGAGATCTGACACTCTCTTCCGGCCTCCAAGGCTCCCTCATGTGGTAAACATTCAACAGACACACATGCATACACAAAGTAAAAAAGACAGACAGAGAAAGCCATTCCCAGGACTCTACCCTCCTTCCCTTACATGCGTCCCTCCCTCTTCTAGTAAATTCCGATTTTGCTTCATTAGAAAAGGACAACCCCTAAAAGGTCACAATCCGCATTCCATTTATGTAATTAATAGTCTTACAGTGACAAGGGTCCAGAAATGAACAGGTCACTGTACCAGAGGCCACAGAACGGCAGCTCTGCATGTTTGGGATCTCTTACAATCCAAGACAGCTTGGAATCCTCTTGTATTGTCTTTGTGTATTAATGTCCCAGTTGTGGCAGGGTACTATGGTCCTGTAAATGTCACCACTAAGGGTCAGGGAATCTCCCAGTAGTATTTCTCATATCTCTGTGACTCTGTAACTATTTCAAATTAGGTCCCCGCAACCCTGTTCTGGGCACGGTCTTTCAATGCATTTCACTCTACCACTAGGCTATATCATCAGCCCTTCTTTATATTTTTACTTTGAGATGGGCTTTCACTAAATTGCTCAGGCTTGAACTTGTGGTCCCCCGGCCTCAGCCTTCCAGGTAGCTGAGATTAGAGGCCTGCACCACAGGTTAGGCCGAAATTAAACTAAAAAACTTTAGAGATCAAAACAGGCAAAGGTAAAAAAAAAGGGGGGGGGCACTTAAGTTGTTTCTAATAGCAAAAAAATCATCTCAAATGTATTATTAACTAATAGGAAAAGAACGAAGTAAAAATGGTACATTTCATCAATGAATTAAGGACTTAAAAAACTCCCAAGACTACAGAGCAAACCAGAAAATATTAGGCCATAATTCAACCTTAAAAATATGAAAATTGGTGGGCATGGCAGTGCATGTCTCTAATCCCAGCACTCGGGAGGCAGAGGCAGGAGGATCTCTGTGAGTTAGAGGTCAGCCTGGTCTACAGAGTGAGTTCCAGAACATCCAGGGTCATGTAGGGATCCTGTTTCAAAAACCAAGATAAGTAAGTAAATAAAATGTAAAAACATTAGGTGGAGAGCAACAGAGGAAGACATCCAACATCAGCCTCTGGTCTCCACACACACAGGAAGGAGTGGGCACACCTGCACACTCGTGCACACACACACAGAGGAAGGAGTGGACACACCTGCACACTCATGCACGCACACACACAGGAAGGAGTGGGCACACTCGTGCACATACACAGGAAGGAGTGGGCACACCTGCACACTCGTGCACACACACACACACACACACACACACACACACACACACACACACACACCCTAAGGAGATTGCTCAGTTAGTAAGGGGTTTATATAGCAAGCATAAGGGCTTGCATTTGATCCCTAACGCCTATGTAAAAAGCCAGGCATGGAAATGCACACTCACGACTCCAGAGCTGTGGAGGGGACAGGGGTATCTCTAGGGCCTGTTGGCTGCCCTGCCAACTTGGCCTAATCACTGAGCCCTGAGTCCTAGTGACGGACTTTTCTGGATGGCTCCTTAGGAACCTCTGGCCTCCATGTATATACCTGAACACACATGTACCTGTATAGGTGCACCTTCACACACACACACACACACACACACACACCTTATAAAGTGTCTTGAGCAGCAGGAACTTGTAACAGCTGTGTGTGGTATCTCAAAGTGGGGTGGTATCATCGGTTAGTTTCAGGGAATGAGCAAAGGAAAGCATTATTTCAGACAAGGGAAATGAAATGGGAGAGAATGATTCAGAAAAGACACTTTGGGCGGTGGTGGCGCACACCTTTAATCCCAGCACTCGGGAGGCAGAGGCAGGTGGATCTCTGTGAGTTCGAGGCCAGCCTGGTCTACAGAGAGAGTTCCAGGACATCCAGGGCTGTTACACAGAGAAATCCCTTTTTGAAAAATAAAAACAAACTAACGAACACCACTTGAATCAGTAGTTCCATCTTGTACACATCCCAGTGTGTTGACTACTTATTTTCCCACCATCTTGGCACATCTTAGAGATGGGCTTACCTAGCAACAGGAAGAACCAAGACTAAACCACCTGACCATGAAGTGTATGAGATGCTGGAATCCGGAAGTGAGGTAGGGTCTGGTGAACACATTCCCAGGACCTCTTCCACCGGTCACAGCAATGTCCTGAGACAGAAGAACAAGTGAATCTGGAGAAATTCAATAACCTGCCTTTCTTTCCACCCAATCAGTCCCCAATCAGGTCTTCAGAGTCCCAGTGACTGATGCTCAGAACTTCAGCTTCTGGCGGCCCCAAAATCCAGGCGTGCGTCCAGAGGAAACCATCCCATGGATGCAGGGTCCACGCCATTGTCTCATTAAGAGCCCAATGACCAGGTTAGGCTGAGAAGGGTCAGGGTGGGAGACTGGGGAAAGTTCTCTCCCCCTGCCCTCACTGAAACCCATAGTATGTTTCAACTCCACTTAAAGAGCTGATAGTAAGCTGGGTGTGGTGATGCACAACTTTAATCCCAGCACTCAGGAGGCAAAGGCAGGTGGATCTCTGTGATCTGTGAGTTCAAGCCCAGCCTGATCTACAGAGAATTCCAAGACAGCCAGAGCTGCATAGAGAGACCCTGTCTCAGAAACAGGGGGGTAGGTATCAGAGAATAGAAGAGATCTGAGGTTTATCAGGGAGCGTGGGCCTCAGACCCTGGGCAGTGTGGTCTCCACGCAGTATAGTTTGAGATCTGTCTGCTTTGCTTGATGGGTGAGAGACTTCTGAACAGGCACAGAATCAACGTCTCCAGCATTCCTGTGGGCTCCTGAGGATGTTTCTACGCCCACCAGCATCCACTAGACTCAGTCCTCCTCGGTAGCCCTACTTCATCCCCCACCCCCCACCCCCGCCCATTCTGCACAGAGGCAGCAATGAGGACCATTTTTAAGGATGCTCCCTTCCCTTTAGCCTGGCCTGGCTGAATCTGAGACACTCTCTCTCTCTTCCAGATATATGGATCATTCTATTCTCAACGATAAGACCTTCACTCTATACTGAGGAGGGCGCACGTTCTGGACGGAGAGCAAGGAGGGGTGATGATGGCCCAGTCCTCAGGCTGATGAGAAGCGGGAACGTCAGCGGGAACGGAGGGGGAGGAAGCACAATAAACAAACAGAACTAAAAGGCACCGCCTCACACTGGGTGTGGGAGGCCGGGGAGTTACCCCAGGGCCCCCCGACTCCTGCAAGAGCAGGTGTGTGAGGTTCCCGATGAGGCCAGATCTTGGTCGGAGAGGTGTGAAGGGGCCGGAACCCTGGAAGGACAGCCACACAGGTCTTGACCTAATGCCTGACAGGGGTCAGAGTAAACATCTGGGAAGACACATTTGTCCTCGTGGTGCTGAAAGACCCAGGGTGGTCACGCCCTCTGAAGACACTGCCGCTTTATCCCGACAGGCAGAAAAACCACAGGAAGCCATTAGGTTGCAGATGAGAGCAGCCCAGATAGATATCCCAGGGACGGACAAGAGCTGGCCAGCTGCGCCAGGCTTTGTCGATTCTGACCCCAACCCAGGGCCCAGAGAGTTGCAAACAACAGGACAGTTTCTTTCTTTTTTTTTTTTTTTTTTACAAAGAGTTTGATTTTATTGATATTTAAATATATTAAATATTTCACTGAAATACATGGTACACCACCCTCCCCCACTTCCACAGTGGTTGCATTTATAAAACCAAAGCCCATGGCCTCCCGTTACCCCAACACCTCCACCAACTGGTGAGGAAAGGGGCAACGGTGACTCGGGAAGGCCACGGCTGGCACTGTGGTACAGGGAGCCAGGGTGTGAACAGGCCCCTCCCCCTGGCAAGAAGCAAACAGATCACCCAAAGCTGAGCTCTTCCCATTCTGGCTTACTCACTCCCACCCCGATGGCATCAAGTAGTCCCTTCCTATCCGGGGATACAGCTTGGGGAGACGGAGGAATATTCTGTCTGGACCAGCTAATCCCTCTTCTCTGCCTCAGCTAATCAAGTGCCCAGTGGTCCATCAACTGGAACATGGAGGTTCCCAGGGAGGCAGTACCAAGCCAGAAACCAGGCCTCTGCAGAGAGCTAGTGCCAGAAGCATGAGCAAGGCAAAGCCTGCCCCTTCCATACCCCCACGAAACTCTTTCTGCTCTGCCTTCTCGTCGGCGTCTAAGACAAAGTGATCTTCAATCAGGACTGAGGCGTACGCCTCTGGCTTAAATAGGTACAGACAGACAACCAAGGCACCAACTAATTCAGCCCAGAGTCAAGGAGGCTGCAGGGGTCAAAGGCAGGCAGGACAGAAAGAGAACAGAGTCCAACCCTTGCAGGCTTCATGAGGATGGGAAGCCAGGACTGGAGTCTAGCCATGCTAGATTCAGGCTGAAGGCTTGGGAAAGCCGAGTTTAAATTTCCCAGCTCCATCCCCTAGTACCAAAATCTGGGTCCTCAGAGGGATCCCACACTACCCCAGTCAGAAAGTATACCACACCCCAAGACACAAGCTGAGGAACCCAGGGAGCGCCTGAGCCTCTACCTCAAACTTTCAAGAGTTCAAGTGCAAGACATTAAGAGGTGCTTGGGCCCCTGCCCTAGGCAGGGGGACAGTCATGCTGCACATGTGGCCCCCAAATGGCACTTAGGGATTTGGCACAAAAAGGACTCCTCTCCCCAGACCACTCTTCATTTTGCTACCAAACCCCGTCCCACTCCTGTGCAACCCGGGCATTTCTCTCCATCCCTTGAAACAGGAAACCCCGCCTTAACACAGAAGGCAGAGGTCCCCAGGAGGGAGGCAGCCCCAAGCGGGGAGCTGAGGAGCTGGAGCACACGGACACACAGAGACCTAGAAAACATACACACAAAAAAGCAACATGCACACACACAGCTACACAAATGCACAGGCCCTCCCTGGTGCCAGACTCAGGAGGCCAGGTTTGAGGTCAGGGTCATCTTCCTTGGAACCCTGACCCTTTTCTATTTGGCAATATAAGGGGTAGAGACGCTCCATGCCCCCTTGCCAGCAGACAGCAAGTGAGCATTCGGGCCGAGGGAGCTGACCCTGGCCACACTGGGGCCTCAGGTCAGTGTGGCGTTATCCTTCTTCCCTGGCCACCTGTACTCGGGCACCTGCAGGTGAACGTCCAGTTCCTGATCTTCCGATGTCCTCACACACAGGTTTGCTCTCTGGCTGGTTATTTTCACAGTACCAACGGGGCCAGATACCCCTTTCCCTGGAGCGTGCAGGAACTGAGGCTAAATCTGCGCTATCAGAGGTCCCTTTGTTCCCCTTTGGGGACAGATCACGGGACTAGGATTTGGCAAATGGAAACATTCCCCTGAAATGTGGTCAGAGCTAGGTCCCCACAGTACCTCCTTCCTCTGCCTTGTGCCTAGGAAGGAGACTTGGCTGGGGCTGGGAGTGCCCAGGACCAGTGCTGAGGGCACAGTCGAGCAAAGGCAAGCATGGAACAGGCATTCCTCATGCCCGCCCTAGTCTTCGTACAAAATAGTCCCAGGAAAAACAGGGGAAGGAATGACCCAGTCCTGAGCCTGTCGCCCAGACAGGGAAGCATAGTGAGTTGCCATTGGACCCTCTCATGCAGGAGGGCTTCCTGGCCTCTGCCGCCGCCCTCTCAGCTGTTTCTGCAAGCGAGGACAGCGAACAGCCCCTACTCCAGTTCAGAAAGTCACTTGGATAATCCTCTTGGTGTCCCCTCCTTCGCCATTTTGAAGGCAGACGAACACGGCCCAAGCACCCGCTGGGGTGGTCCCTTTTGCTGTCAGATCTGGAGGCCCAGTGGCCCCTGCGGCAGCTCCACCCAGCGAGCAGGAAGTCCACTCAATACCCACCTTGGTCCCTTCAGCTGAATCTCAGCTGCACTCTGCTAACTGCTGGGACCTCCATTGAGGAAGTAGGTGGTCATCTCCCCCTTACCCTTCACCTTGACCACCCCTCGACACTCCAGTTGGTAGCCCTTGGCAGCTAGAACCTGGTATAGGTCCGTGGTCACCTGGGGAAGTGGGAAGGGAGCCTGCTTAGCCTGGAATCCTCGATGCATTGGCAAGAAGCCCAGTAGGAATTCTCCATCAGGCCAGCTCCCCTCCCGCAGCCCCTACCCCAACAGCCACAGAAGAAAGTCACCCTGCCCCTATCCTGCAGAGAGACTTGTGAAAGCCCTCTAGACCCACACCCCTCCCAACCTGCATCACATCCCCTCACCTGTATTCGGTCAGGAACCCCTGTGCTGTCCATACGACTGGAGACATTCACTGTATTTCCCCAGATGTCATACTGTGGCTTCCGGGCCCCAATGACACCTGCCACAACTGGACCCATGTTCAACCCTGAAGTAGAGATAATAGCAAAAGTCGAGAGCAAGAGATTGAGGCTCTTGCTCAGGATCACTCCGAAATTCATCTTCCCCTGCATCTTGAGAAGGACCCAAAGGGGGAGGAAAAAAACGTGGAAAGGGGACGATTCTTCTGGTGGTTTAAAACAACAAAAGTCTGGGTGTGGCAGCTGAGGTAGCTCCCGAGTCCAGACAACTATTGCTGTACATGCTGGATGCATCTCTGTGTTCACTGCTCATACTGCTGCTACCCTCTTACAGACAAGATGTTGGGGTAACTAACTTCCCGAGCCTGTAAATAGAGCTGTGGGAAGTCAAGCCAGACTCCAGACCTATGCTATTAATCACTGCCTTCCACCAGTGCGTTCGAGAAGTGTCTCTATCAGACTGAGCACACACACAGATACCAGACAGCGGCCTTTAGACAAAGCTGCCTGCTAGTCCTCCAGCCTTCACCAAGTTCATCTCTGAGTGTTATTCTCATCTTAAAGCAGGGAGGAGGGTGCTTAATGTGAGAATTAAAACGCACTCAAAATATCTAGGACAAAACCCCAGCCCATGGAAGACTCAAAATAAATGGTCTTTGTCCTTAGTACCAGTCTTGACATGAGGGTGGGAGGCAAGATCTCTAAGGAATCCTGATGGAGAACCGGGGACCGTACCCAACCCATACCTTCAGCTTTACCCACAAATGTCCCAGAAAAACAGACAGGCCCTCACCGATCTTCATCTGGAAATTGTTGAAGGAGTGTTCGTTGATATGTTTCATCTGCTCCATAAGCCGCATGGCATAGTCTGCCAGGGCGGTGATGTGGGAGCGGCCCACCTGATCGTAGGTGCTGGCATTTAGCCCAGAGGCGGCCATGTAGGTGCTGCCGATCGTCTTGATCTTCTCCAGCTGCCGGAACCTCTCCTCACTGATGATCTGGACAATGGCGGGGGTGGGGTGGGGTGAGGGGGGGAGTGTCTGTCAAGCCAGACCCAGGTCTCTTCCAAGCTCACTCCTTGTCATGCCTCAGCTCTCTTCTCCTCCTCCCTCAATAGCCCCCACTGTCTGGGTGAGCCCCCCTTCCAACTGCTGTTCTCAGTGTAGGTCTGAGAAGCCAAGAAAACAGGGCACTTCAGGACCCTGGGCAAGGAACTGGGTGTACAGCTTCAGAAGGTTAACTGATGGTCCCCTGCAGCAGAAACACTCTGACGTGTTTTGGGGAACTGTGTCCCAGAGGGAGGGAGGGACTTTCCTCATAATAACAGACCATCCATCCCTGACCTGGGTGTTCAGGACAGTTCCTCACATTTTGCTCCCATTCTCACTGTTCAAGAGGTCATCTCGCTTGCTTGGTCTCATATGGACTTTCCCACAGCCTACCGTCTCCCTCTTCCATCACATCACCCGACACCTATCCTGCCATCCTCCTCCTAGACCCTCAAGTCCTCTTCTGATTCTCAACAAGGATGACCCCGCCCCACTGAGGCTGACCACCTTGCTGCCTCTGACAGGGCCAGGGACACTCACCCCATCTAATTCATGGCTTTTTCACCCCAAGTCTGCCCCATTTCCCTGGTCCCCGAATTGT